GTGAAAGGGGAGTGGGCTTTTGCAGGAAACAATTCATTCATTAGTTTGTTTCAGGAATATGAAGATCTGTCCTTGGGTCTCAGAGACTCTGTGCCAAATCTTTCCTTGCACAGCACCTCATTTGGAAAATCTTTACATGGCAGCTTCCCAAGGTAGATAAAGTCTGTGGTCATAACTTCAACTTTGAAGGACTGTTTGCCAGGCCTTTGATGAATGTGAAGGAGAGGAATTCACATGCGTTTGATAAAAGGGGTTTTGTCGGGGCCAGGAACCTGCTTCCTACTTTTTGGGGAACCCTAGATCAGAACACAAAGGCTTAGTTTAAAATCCTACTAAATAAAAATTAAGGCAAATTGACAGGAGCCTGATTTGATAGTTTGAACCAAGATGTCCATTCTTTTGTCCTGCTTATGAAATGTCAAATGCAATAAATGGATAACAAAGAAAGCTTCTGAACAGCCGGAAAACAGCTGTTGGGGCCTAGAACATGGCCTAATGCAAACCATGTTTTCAAGCTGTTTCTTAGCTTTGATTCGTATATAAATCAGGGGCTTCCAAAGCTGGCAACCTTCCAGAATTCCCTAGCCACCCTTTATACCAGGGGGTCTCCAAAGTTGGCAACTTTAAGACTTGTGGACTTCAACTCCCAGAATTCCTCAGCCAGTATTCTCGGAGTTGAAGTACACAAGTCTTAAAGTCACCAAGTTTATGGACTTCTGGTATAAATCAAGGTTTTGAATACCGAGAGGCAAACAAATTAGGAAAACGGTGATTATTTTAACAGATGCAAGCCGTACGCCAGTTATTCCCCCCGGGAGAAAAGCTGCGTCACACATATTTGTTATTGTCGCACACTTTTGCAAACTTCTGAATTCATTCCAGCTGTATGTACCAACACGTCCTCTCCTCTTTTGCCACCCTCTCATTTCTGCTCTTGCCCAACAGATGGAGTTCGTTCCACAGTTGCCAAAGACAATCAGTGGGAAAATCCGAAGAAACGAATTGCGCAAGAAAGAATGGGGAGAAGTGTAGAATCCCTCCGCCTGTTTTACTTTCCGAGCAAAGCAGCCGTTCCGGGAATAAAAGTGTGTGTGCCGTTAACTCTCCCAATTTAGAAATTGAGAGTCCTGAAAAATGCACAGATGCGGTCCCTTCCGTGGGCTCTTTTGTCAAACGATCTCTCCGCTGCTTACTTATCGCCGGTTTATACAAAACCCCAATGTAGCTGGCCAGGTTAAGCAACGATTTTTCAGTGAAAAAGAACACCGAGTACCCTGGACAAAGATCCAAACTGTCCAGCCCAGATGTTATTGGCATCATCAACCTACAGAGAGCTGCAATGACCAGGCCAGATATGTAAACAATACATAAATCCAAACATTCTTTCCAATCCCTAAAGGACAAAACTTGATATAAAAACACAGGGACATTTTGACGAACTCAATTAGAATAGAATAACAAGAGTTGGAAGGGACCTTGGAGGTCTTCTAGTCCAAACCCCTGCTTAGGCAGGAAACCCTACACCACTTCAGACAAATGGCTATCCAACATCTTCTTAAAGACTTCCAGTGTTGGGGCATTCGCAACTTCTGGAGGCAAGCTGTTCCATTGATTAATTGTTCTAACTGTCAGGAAATTTCTCCTTAGTTCTAAGTTGCTTCTCTCCTTAATTAGTTTCCACCCATTGCCCTTCCTTCCTTCCTTCCTCCCTTCCTTCCTTCCTTCCTCCCCTGTTCCACTGGTTAATTGTTCTGACTGTCAGGAAATTCCTCCTCAGTTCTAAGTTGCTTCTCTCCTTGATTAGTTTCCACCCATTGCCCTTCCTTCCTTCCTTCCTTCCTTCCTTCCTTCCTTCCTTCGCTGTTCCACTGATTGATTGTTCTAATTGTCAGGAAATTTCTCCTCAGTTCTAAGTTGCTTCTCTCCTTGATTAGTTTCCACCCATTGCCCTTCCTTCCTTCCTTCCTTCCTTCCTTCCTTCCTTCCTTCCTTCCTTCCTTCGCTGTTCCACTGATTGATTGTTCTAATTGTCAGGAAATTTCTCCTCAGTTCTAAGTTGCTTCTCTCCTTGATTAGTTTCTATCCATTGCCCTTCCTTCCTTCCTTCCTTCCTTCCTTCCTTCCTTCCTTCCTTCCTTCCTTCGCTGTTCCACTGATTGATTGTTCTAATTGTCAGGAAATTTCTCCTCAGTTCTAAGTTGCTTCTCTCCTTGATTAGTTTCCACCCATTGC